GATCTGCCACAACCTCTGGCTGGTCTCCTTGTGCAGGGCCGACGTAGTTCGCATGTACAAGTCGTTCGATATCAGCAGCCTCTTGTTTAGTTCTTGGAACTTGCCTGTTGCGAATAACGAGAGAGGGGGGGGGGGTGACGCAAAGTGTACAAGCTAGTCGGACCAAGAGGTACACACGATGGCTGGTAGGGATATCCCAGAACCTCAAGTGGTTGACACGTGCTTCCTATGGTATGGATTATGCATACATATGCTGTCATGGCGCCTGTTATTGAATTTTAGGTTTCAGGAGCAATGCTTTACGCAACAACACCAATCCAACGAGTTCACAAATCCTTACCCGCATACTTGTCGCAGATGTCAATGGGCTGCAATCCCAGCTTCGCGGCCGTGTTGGCGATCTTTTGTCCGTGCTCATCGGAGCCGGTCTGGAAGATGACCCTCTTTCCGCTCATACGCTGATACCGCGACAGAACGTCGGAGGCGATCGCCTCGTAGGCATGGCCGATATGCGGCTCCCCTGACGGGCGGGCGGAAAATCGCATTTTTTAGTATGCTGGGCGGGAAATCGGAAGGAGCGCATTCAGCAAACCAAATGTTCTCGGTGCTTCGATGTGGATCCTTTCCATTCCTGCCAACCCCAGGTGGAGCACGTCCGACTTCGCCGACTAGTTCAGGAGCATAAAGCCCGCGGGGGGTTGACAGATGCACGTGAAACAACACTAGAAACGGGTGTGCACACATGTACGTTCGTGGTTGGGCGATAAAACGTCCAACACGGAGAGAAAGAATACTCACTCACTGGTTGTGCTACGTACAAAAGGCGTGCTGATAAATAGGTCTTGTGGTGAAGCGACCAAAGAGGCGACTTTTGTATTCTTTCGGGATGAGCTTCGTCGGTTGTCGAAGGAGTACATGCGCAGGAACAACGAGCATATTCAGTACAGCAATGGGCCGACATATACACGACCCATACACAACAATGTACACCTACACACACACGTCCGATTCTGACCGAAACACAAGCGTGCACAGAGAGCCCATCAAGAGGCCCAACTCCTCTGCTCGACACTGCTGAATTAAACTCTCATTCTCACACCCTCACCGTTGGTGTAGTTGATCGCCGTCGTGAGGTAGAAACGCTCCCTCTTGTCTTGCTCCTCTCCTTCTCGCAAGGGCAGGTCGGTCGAAGACACGAGCGAAGACAGCTCCACAGGGGTGTTCACATCAACTTCCGCCTGGAATGGTTGAGTAGCACAAAAGAGAGGTGGACGCGTTAGCCGTTGGGAGGTGTTGGGAGCGGAGACCGACATACCACGTGAAGCAGAACGTGAACCGCTCGTGTCTAATCCGATATGCGTGGCAAGGCGCCGACGTTGGGACGGCAAAAGGTTGAGGTCCAAAATGGGGTCACGTTACACCTAGCGCCACGCTATACAGATCATCACCAACCGCGGTGTTGCTGACGGTGTTCCGCGAACGGTCAGCAAGCACCACATTGTCGCCCCAAACAGCACTGCTACCATCGGCACTGTTGCATTCGGCACGCCTCCCTCATTCTCAACAAAAAAAAACACTTGGAATTGACAGCACTAACAGACATCGGGAGCCACACCGCCTCAAGTCTCTTGGCCGGATGTTTCTAGGCCTGCCCTTCCCTTACTGTCATGCACAGACAGCAACCCTCCAACCGCGCCCAAACCCGGCTTTTCCCTCTGACAAGGCGGTGTAAAAGAACAGTCAGTCAAGTACCATGTGCAGGTTTATCAAACGCACCGTCGCCGTGGCCGAATTGCCGACGAACTTGTCCTTCTTGCTGGCCGGAGCAGCCGCGGCGTTCTTCTTTGCTTCCTTCGCCTTTTGCACCTGGTGCCAAACAAATTCACCAACACAAAGGGCGGGGTAGAAAACAAGCAACGATAGGCCGACTCAGGCTTGTCGAAACTCGCATGTACTGTATGCGACAAGCGTCGGTCCTTTGAGGACACGGGCAGCGTCCGCTCAGACCGCTGCAGCGTTCCACATGTACTACAATGGGAGCACACAGCAGTAGTAGGACACACACGTGGATCGACGAAACAACAAAACGAAAACGACGGCATGAGCGATGAGTATTGAGCGAGAATACGCCACCCCAAAGCAAGGTTTGCACAGCAGCGTTCACCTCACGTGACACGACAAAAAAAAAATCGAACGGACCGAGACACTGGATAATTATAACAGATGCAAGGAGAATCCAGTGCTTTTGTGGAGGCCAGTCGGGTTTCCGCAGAGAAAAAAGCGGACAGGTAACGAAGGGTGCATTCCGTTCACGTTGAACATCAACATCCACCAGACGAACAGGAAAGACGACATTCCTCAGTGTTCAACTTGGTACGTACATCGCGCAGGTTGCAGGCTGCATGCTGCCCGGGGTAGTTTCAGTGGAATTCAGCGATGAAGGCATGCAAGACACGCAAAACAGCCATAATCCATGCGCGCAATATGTAGCACCCACGAGACATTTCGCACCGATCGGCGTCATCGCACTGGGGTGCGATAGAAATCCAAGACAGACATGATTAAATGGTTTAATCCGGCCTCCACACCGCTGTTGGTGTTGTTGTTGTCATACTGCTACTCCTGTACTGCCCTATTCGGGCATTCTTCGCCATCGCCACGTCGTGCTAGAAATTCTGCAGTAGGTCGCCCACTCGGCCCGGCGAAAAAGAAATGAGCGAACTTCCTGCCCCAGAATCGATTGTTACACTAAAGCGTTGTATTTTCGTAGGCCACGGCAAACTGAACCATTGGTGGTGTGAGAGACAGAGAGCCAGCCCCAAATGACATCTGGTGTCCCAAGAAAGGGTGGGCTCTCGTAGACTGTATCGCGGCTGACGGGATGAGCAATGGCAACGCTATGCGACAGATATGAGCGCCAGCACGCCGGCGTGTGCGGCCACAGGGCGTGCTCCTCGAGAAACGCGATCAACAGACAAAATACACGCTTTAATGGTTCTTGATCAACGACCGTTCCCCGTTTTCAACAAGAGAGGAGCAAAAGGAATCAAATCATTTGGTGCAGCGTCGCACATGATTCTTGCAACCGCACATGACCATTTCGACAGCAGTTGGTAGGAGTTCAAAGTACCACCGAAAGCCAACAAGTACGTGAAAGCACCCCGCCATTTACTTCCTTATTTATCCAGGGTCACGAAACCAACCTCCTGCCTTCCTCTATTGCCGAGAACGTACAGCAGACGCTCATGGTGCCTGGTTGACTGCTGTTACACTGCTGTGTGCCATAGTCTACGGTTTAGTCTACATGTATGTATGCAAATGCTTTGTCAGCAGTAGTGCATGTTCCAAATAAACGTGGAGAGAATACACACATGATAGCACCAACGAAAGCTCACGCACGACAAGCTGGCCGGCACAAGTTCGGAGGCGCACGTTCCCCTGTTCGTTGGAGCGTTGGCATCTCTTGCTCTGAGGGTCGAGGATCTACTGCTGTATAGGCGGAAAGTACCGGTTCTCGTCGTGCGTCCGTAAAGCTTGCGCAGGCCGGAGCGAGTTGGACCGCACGATTTTTGCGCGAACCCCAAAACACACACCAACGCAGGGAGAAAGAAGCAAATGTAAGAACGAGGAAGGCAGCATCAGGAGATCGAGGAGCTGACAGACCAGCTAAGGAGGAGGAGGCACCATTGCACGCACCTTCAAGTCCTTGAGCTTCTTCTTCTCCTTCCGGCGAGCCTCCTTGTCGTCAACCGCGGAGCCCGCCCCTCCTCCTGCCGCCCCTGCCCCGCCGCCGTGGTAGTGCTTGAGATAGCTCAGCCGAAGAGCAATGTCCAGCTCATCAGTGCGCAACAGATCCAGCTGGCTGGCCTCCATATCGCCTAGTGTGTCCAGCAAAGTCGCACGCACTGCGCGGCGCGGTGTAGGTTGTGGTTGTAGGCGCCGCACCAAGCAACCAAGCGCTCGGGGGCACCGCGGTTGCGAACACCGGATCACCAAAAATAAGCCAATGACAAAATAATGACAATGTACGTATTGTCGCTGCTAATTTCGCCGCTCTTGAGACACGTGCTGCAGACATCGAAGTGATCTATCGGAGCGCAACTCAGGAGCATGGTCGTACCTCTCTGACTGAATTTTTACGGAGAGGGGCGCTTCAACAGAGACGAAGGCCTGGTTGCTGTGGTGAGAAAGGCGGGCCGTGGAGGATGCGTATGCTATGCAATGATGAGTTGCGGCGGGTTTTTGGGTGCTTGCATTGAAGCTCTTTATAATGTCGGCTGCCGACTGCAAAGTGTCTGGTCTTGGTAAGCAATGTAGCGCGACGTAAATCTTCTCGACCATAGTCTAGGGTGCCTGTTCGCAATGTTCTTGTTCCGGGACAGCGAGAAGTATAAAAGCTGAGCGCGGTACCAGCACGAAGAGGTATCGGGTATTGATCGAGATCAACGGCGAATCTGACTGCTTTGCGTCTTGCATTTTAGCATGCTCCACAGGAGCACCACTCGAAAAGATATAAGATGGCACTATCGATGGGACCAGACCGTTATCGCAGTTTCTCTCCCACAAGCAGAAAGGGGGGCGCCGATGGCGAGCGGGCATAGTTTTGATGCTGTCATGCTGCTTGTCGGCGGCGTCCTTCACAGCGGTTGTGGGATCAGGGCGAGACAAACCGGTGCAGCGCAGGACGGTGGTAACTACAATAACGTCACGAGCTTGATCGAGCGTTTCGCCATCCGTTTCCGTCAACCAACTAGCTCACATTCAACCAAAACAGCACGGACAAAACGTCCCGCGGAACAACAAAGGGATCCGATTATCGGTTACCCCCCGCACCTTCCGACCCCGCTCCCTGTGCATTCGGTCATTCCATTTCTCCAGGCGCTATCCACTTGGAGCGTCTCGCAGGTCGCCGTGTTACGGGGCATGATTGTCCCGGGACTGTGATATGTGCTGAGAGGGCACACAACAGCACGGCAGGGCATTTTCTTTTGGAGACAGAAATGGCGCTCCACCGCAGCGCTGGAGTCGTGTCTCGCCTCCCGTCCCATGAGAAGCAGAAGATGGAGACTACTCCTTTCCCGTGGCTGCCCATGCTTGCCATCGCGATCGGACTCGTGAGTCATTCGTACGCTCTGACCAGCCTCTTCCCCTACGTGGGGTACATGGTGCAGCACCTCGGGGTCACCGACGACAAGGATGAAGCAGGTTTGCGCTGCGTTTGGAAAAAAGGTCGCGTTGAATATTGGGTGCTTGTTGTTGAATTCTGTTTTTGTCCCTTCACCTGACTGAGCATTTGGGTCGGATCTCGGCAGGTTGGTTGCTCCGCTGCCAAGGCATTCATGATATGTTTCGAAGTTGAGGCGAGGCTTCCGCGTTTTGTGGTCAACATCTTAGAAAATATACTTAACATCATTGAAAAACTACCAATTCGAGGCCATTGATTCTCAAAGTATGTGGAAGACAATACGTTCGAGGGGGCTACGCTCGTGCGAGTTCCAGACTCACTCGAGCTTGTTGGGTTTCGACGCACGAAATGGAACACGGGGAAATATATCGCATGCTCACATGCGTTTCATGCCGTTCTCCAATCCGCGGTGCCTTGGACGAACAGATGGAAACTTCTCTACATTGTACACCTCCTGGCGACACGGGTGTTCATTTTTTTGTGACTTGGAACCCTTTGGAGTTTGTTTCTAGCCTACACGCCGTGCGATGCATGTGCTTTGTTTCACACGCACTCGTGTTTGACCCCTGCAACCAATGCCTCAGGGTACTACGCGGGCTATGTCTCGTCCGCCTTCATGGTCGGCCGCGTCGGGAGCTCTTACTTCTGGGGGCGCTTCGCCGATAGTCACGGGCGGCTACCGGTGATCTACGCGGGCCTGACCTCTATGGTGGTGCTGTCCATCGCTTTCGGGCTTTCGACTTCTTTCTTGTGGGCCCTGGGCTGTCGGTGAGAGCGCAGACTGGCCTAAACCTCCCACGGTTTCTCCGAATCGTGTTTATTGGTCGTCCTGTTGAACACGCGTAGATAGGATAACCGACAACAGCGCAGTAGATACACGCGCTTGGTAATGGCTTGATCATTTGTTTTCACCGCATACACCTCCTTTTCGTACGACAAAAGAGAGTAAAGATGTCACATGCGCCACGCAACATGCCTCCGTACGGTCATGGACGGACATCGCGAGTATTTTCCGCAACGCTTGTTCGGATGCTGCTGCTAGTGCTGCTGCTGCTGCTGTTGCTGCAGCTTCCGCTGTATGCACCACGTTGGATCAACCTTCTTCACTGCCTATTCGACATTGCTTCTACACTGCTGCGGTGTCTTTTCGTGGTAGGTTCCTCCTTGGCGTGCTGAATGGTCTCCTCGGGATATCTAAGGCCATGACCTCAGAAGTCTGCGGGAAGGAGCACGAGGCTACGGGAATGGCGTACGTTCTAGGTACATGTAGCCCGGAGGAGCACCGCGTGCCCATCGTAGCAATCCTCTTGTTCAATCCTGTTGAATGTACTCATTTCGTCACCACAGTCTAAACTACTAACGTTATTGACACAGCAGCACGACATCGCGACCAATGACAAACGCACCATTCTTGGGGTATTCCAGCACATGACGCGTGCTCATGTTGTGTGTGCGTCCACGGGTGCCATCAGCGAACACGGCAAGGGCCATCGACAAATATTTCTAGGCAATCACACGACAAGTTCTTGTCTTGAAGCCTATCCGGTCGTCGCCCCTTCCCGCAGATCTTGGGTAGACCATTGCCCTGCATGCAATCGGATGCGATCGCCCCTCGCCCACCTCTGGAGCTCATGCGCTGCTCAGTTATCGCTGAGTGGGTAGCTCGGTCGATTTGTTTTGCGTCTACCGACGGCGTCGTTCTAATTTGACGGCGGATCGTGTGAGAGCGAGCACCGCAACTAGAAGTACGAAAACTTATAAGCCACCACCCTTTCGCTCTGTCACATCCGCGGTGCGTTGTCGTCGTGCGCAATCCGTTTACATGTTCTTCGGGATGGACGTCAAAGGGTGTGCATCTATTGGGCTTGTGATCGGCCCTGGCCTTGGAGGCCTGCTGGCTGAGCCGGCAACGCACTACCCAACCGTGTTTTCGCAGTCGGGATTGTTCGGGAGGTACATATACTGTCTGCCAATGCTGTGCTGCGCTCTGCCTTGCTGTGCTGTGCTGTGCTGCTGTACCACATGCGCGAACTGGATTGCGCGACCACGGTGGGGGTAGTCTGTGCAGCGTTTGCGCGATGAAGACAATTCAAATAGCCGTGTTCCACGAAAAAGCTGTTTGCTGTGGCGGGATGCCCTCGATGCACTCTTACGCATGTTTGCCCCTTTTTTTTCGCGAGAAGCTAGATTATGTCACTCGCTATCTCCGTCCCTAGCTGGTTGTTTGGTGGACCGACTGCACGGGACCGACGAAACTCCTGCATCTCATTCCTCAGACAGGAGAGCTGCTTGGCAATGGCGACACAGACGTTCTTCGCGACGCTGCCGTTGCGTCTCTCTTAAAAACGTATTTTCGTTCATTGGTGACCGCTGTATCAACATCAACGAGGGTAAAACAAGCAACAGTTGTGCTCGAAGTACAAGGAGCCTCAATTCATTCTCATTGAGAAGGCTGTCACCCGACGGGTGATCGACCGATCGGTTTATTACCTTCGCAGGTTTCCCTACCTCCTGCCGAACATCGTCGGGGCGGGTATCGCCTTGACCGGTTTACCTTTCGTCTTCTTCTTCCTAAAGGAAACGAGGCACGTACACAACAACAGAGGCGATAGCAGGTGAGGAGAAAAGTGGTGTTCTTCAAATGCGTGGGACCATGAGAACGTCCATCTTGCTCTCTCCAGAAACCGCGTTTATGTGCTGCAGGCGGATTGTCCCGCCGCACAACCGAGAATTTTCCACAGGTCGACTTGACCTATTTTTTTCGTGGACTTCCGCGAGGTCGGCCAGAGAGTACTCACACGCGGTCCTCCCACGTGCATGAAACTTCGCGTACTGCCACCGCGTTTCGGACTCAGCGGTGAGTTCAAGCTCCTTTCGGTCTCAGAAGCGGGGACCGTCGAAACCCACGAGGCCGCCACGGTCGAAGAAGGCGGGATGGTCGAGATGACCCCAACGGCAAGGACCCAAAACACCCTTGAAAGCGACACAAATGGCAGCGGTCGCGACAACATACTATTGGCGGACCGTCGTGCGGAGGGCTCGAGGGCTGTAAGGTACGACGGCGGCATCGAGGGCCGAAGCGGAACCGCCGATTGCTACGACATCGACGAAGACCACGGTAGAAATTCGGGCGAGCAGAGCCGCCAACTGCTCTCCGCAAGTGGGAGGTCTTCAAATGATGATTATGTTGATGATGGTGATGAGCGTGATGAGGCTGCGGCTTTTGGGGCTGGAGGCGGGCGAAAGAGCAACCGTGAAAGGTTTCGTACGACTACTAGAGCCTTACAAAGATTGGAAAAGGCCAAGGGATTCGGCGATAGCGACAGCGGCGGCGAGGGTCGATGGGGCAGGAGGAGCACCTGCTGGCGGGAGTGTCTCGTGCCGATACAATTGCTCACGGAGAGACGCACCCGCAATGTCATGTTCGTGTACGCCCTCTTTTCGGTGAGGCCTCGAGTTGCCACTCCTCCGGCACCTCGTTGTGGTTGGGTTTTGAACGCTTCTAGAGAGTAGACGTGAAGCGCGCGGTTTTCGGTCGCAGACGCGCAGATCTGGCTCCTAGATCGCACGGTAGTAGAGTTAATCTCAGCGAAGTGGTCGCGGTCAAAGGCCACCGTGTTGAATACCTGACGGTCGCATTCCCGTTGAATACCCTGCATTGGACGAGCATCGCCGCGCGCCCGTTCAGTTCTGGCCACTAATATGTGAGTGACACGTGCCGCCACATACCACCATGTGATCGCTACCCAGGACCTCAAATTTGCACTACCGCGAACCGTCTCTCTTTCTCGGCTGTTGGTGCCCCAGTTTGTCGCGATAGGAAACCGTGAGCTCTACCCGCTGTGGGCCCTCAGCACGGTGGCCAGCGGGGGCCTGGATTGGAGTTCGAAGCAGATTGGACAGGTTCGATGTTCGACCTAACTAGACTGCTCTACCGTTATTCTGACGCTCTCCCTGTCATTTGGGTCGTCTCGAGAGGCGTGCTGAGCACGGTGACTGTCGCGGGGTCTGATTTGGCCACGCTTTCGCTCCTCGATGAAAGTCGCCACATTTGCCCCGTTCCTCGAACTACCTTCGCCAGCCCAAATATCGACCGTGACTACTAGCTTCTGGGGTATCGTTGCTCCCATTTCATCGTCACGATTCCCAACGTTCATCTTAATCGTTGCTCCTCTCTCCGTCGCGTGACTGCTGTTTCTTGTTGATACACAGGCCCTTTCTGTGTGCGGAATATTCATGCTTTTCTTCCAGCTGTTGGTGTACCCTCGGCTGTCGAAACGAATAGGGGCGACGAGGTCGCAGCGCTGGGCGTGCTTCCTTTCAATCCCTGTATTTCTCGTGTTCCCGACGCTGTCCCACCTTCGTGGTACCGAGAGGACGCTCGTCGCGGCCTCCCTGGTTTTGTTGTTCCTGACCAACGCAGTAGCCAACACGGTGAGCAACCGCGCGTTATTGCAGAAAAAAGAGGTAGCGGTATCATGTATAGTATATCGAAACAAAAAGGGGGTGTGACAATATCCCCGTCCTGTGTAGGCCGCCTTCGATGCAGGATGACACGCACGGAATAACTGGCCCGGAACGTTGCCTGCTGAGCCACATGCAGGGGAAATTTGCAGTTTGCATCAACTTCGAAATCAACGTCGAACCCCTTGTTGACGATGCTTCTGGCATTACATAGTTTTTATGTGCCGCTTCAGTTCAGGCCCTACTACCGGTGTCTGCCCTTTGTGTACAAACTAACTGAGCATGGACGCCCCACGCTAGAGCTTCGGCCGTTGCTGGTCTTATTCCTGTGGTCGGGATCTCAGACAACCTCCCGCCCCTCCCTTTTCTCCCTCACGGGCACGTTGTGAGGGCACCTCTTATATCCGCACGTCACATTTTACACCCCTCGGAGCGCGCAAACTCCCGGATCCGCTACATCAGGTTTTCATCAACGTTGCTCTAGCAACAAACAATGCGGTGGAGCCGTCTCGACGCGGGACGCTGACCGGGCTGTCGATGACGACAGGCTCGCTGGCCAAGGCCGCCGGCCCAACATTTTTCTCGTCGATTTTCGCTTGGTCGATCGACGGGCGTCGCCGTCCTTTCCCCCTCGACTACCACCTGGCGTTCTACCTGTTGGCGCTGGGGTACGGGAGATTTCAAACGCTCTGCCGTAGTGTTATTGCTTTTTCGTTGTCATCGTCGATTTGAAGCCCCTATGCAGGGGAAGCACGTCGCTTTGAGATGAATAATTCTGAGAATTACGTGGGTGTGGCAGGGGGCCGCGGTACCATCAATAATTATCCTTGACGGTATGCGGAAACATGTTTGCCAACGACGGGTACCTCGCGCTCACAGCACTGCGTGCAGAGTGGTGATCCATACATATCGGAAGACCATTTCCGTCCCCCCCCTCCCCCGCGTTCCCACGCCTGAACGATTTTCCTACAATTATCCCAATGCTCCACCGCGAGACAAACCTCATCTGCTTCCTACCCTGTTCACGTTGCTTGAATCCAAACAGGATGGTTCTCGTGAGCTGGGCAAGCTGGGGTACAATTTGTTCGCCGGAGCCAGTACAATCGCAATCTGCTGCTTGCGTGGTTCCCGCGCGGGACCGATGGAAATACTCACAAGAGCGAGAATACGAGTATCATGGCGGTGTTACGGCAGAAAAATCCCTGGGCGATGCTAGTAAAGCGATACCCAAGTAAGGCTCGTCGTGACGTTGCTGTCCACGACGGAACCTGCCATCTCACTCTGATGTTAATTCGCTCACGATTTGGTCGTTGAGAGTATGCATACGTGGTCGAACCATCATCGTGGTGAGGGAGACCTTCGAACGCGTGGAAATAAAAGACTGCACGTGCCCACACGCCGTGGGTTATTTAATTTTTCGGGTCATGCCTTCACCGTTGTACAGATCAACTTGTATTCAGTGAGTAAGGAGATATTGCAGATCGAAGCGGTTCGAGCCGGCTTCATGTATGTACGGTCTTGACCTTGTTCTCTTGTTTTTTCGAACGTCGGATCACCTCGAGAGCGTTCATCGTCTTGTTTGGTTCCATGCGCGTGATTTGCGAATGCACTCCTTGTACATGTCGTCCCTCGTGAGGTAGTGGCATGGCTGCTCTTGGCCTTTTCTCTTCCGTGTCGGCTTGACATTTGCACAACTTCTCGAAATGCAAAAGGTGCAAGGGTGGGAAAAACAAGTAGTTGCATTTGCAGCTCCTAAAGCTTGCAAACAACCACTGGAAGCCTTCGATGCGTCAACCACGTCCCTTCTCTCTGATGTGAGACCTCTACATAGCGGCCGTAAGACTCTACTTGGACTCGTTCTCTCGTTCTCTCGTTCGGGGAGCCGTACTCTGTGGACCTCTTACCATGCCCAACAACCCATACGTAGTAACTCGAAGGTGCTTTCATGAACAACGGCCAGTTTGGTTTGTCTACTCCTTCCACAAACAAACCTGCCCTTTTCCCCTTTTCAATTTACACTCCGCTCCCCACTCGGAACCGCTGCAACGCACGTACTCCACTACGTTCGCTTGCCCTTCAGCACAATTTAGAAAGCTATCTTGCCACAACCTGGCACTACCTAACTAATCAACCCTGTTTTGGGGTACTCAGCAAAGTAACACAGATATGCGGGGGCTTCCGGGGGTTGTGCCTGGACGTTTCATGGATATGGTGAACATGGTGGGCGGGGGTCTTCTTGCCTCGCCCATGTCTCTCACTCGTTAAACTGTTTGACGTGTGACAAATATGGGTGACGCGAAAAGAGCCTCGCGCATCATGTTCACCATTCCCATGAAACACCCCCGTGGCCCCCGGAGGTCCCTACTTCACTGCATACCCACAACAAGTCCCCCCCCCCCCCCCCTACTCGGTTCGAGATACGACCTACAGCAGTACGAAGAAAACCTCTCCGCAAATCGACAGCTAGAACCAACGGCAACATATCAAAATCCAATTCAAAGGTTTGCTCTAATTTGAACCCATACAAATAGTTTTGTTGTTGTTGCTTTCAAGACTGTTCATACGATTAACACCCAATCGACATCAGGCTATACCCCCCGGGTTGTGTCTCAATCGCGAGAAACAGCATCTCAAACGTAAAAATGAAACAAGAAATCAGTGACCATCATCATCGTCGAATCAGGGACGTAGTCGCCTCCCTCGCCACTGCCGTCCGACCGGGAGTCCAGCGAGTTGTCCCCGGTAGAGGACTCGGGCTGCAAGCGGTCCACCCTCGATGTCGGCTCACGGCCGTCACCTGGTACAATACATGCATGCATGGTTAGTTTGAGTCATGCCACGGTATGCATAGGTAGCGATTAGGCACAGCATGTTCCAGAACGTTTCCATGGGTTCGCCCGAAGTGTAGAGGCATAATTCTGAAATATGACGTCTCTACATACCAGATAGATTCTTCATGGAAGAATATACTGTTATTTAAACGAACAAGAAACGAACTGATTGCAGTCAGTGACTACAGAAACTCTTGTGGTGAGGAGAGACATACTATTCATACGCATGTGCAACAATACCTTGCTTCAGTGTGCCGAGAGTCCTTTTCGTGGCGCCAATCACGGGCTGCTGGTCCTCTTCCTCCTCGTCGTCGACTTCCTGTTGCGGGGGGCGCGTAAACCAGCCGGGTGCGGCCCTAGCGATGAGCAAACATGGTACGAACTACCATCACATACTAGCTGAGGGACCAAATAGTTTAAACCATCAACGAGTCGCGAATGAATTCGGAATCAATCGCCGCTGCACGTTGGGTACCAACTTTGACCTGAGTTCAACAACGGTTGCTCAGCTCTACCTATATACCTGCGCAAGCTCTGGCACATCTTCGCCATCATCGCGTGCTTCTTCGTCACTGCTGTTGGTCTTGTGTTCCCTGAGGAGTTCAATGACAAACGTATGTCCGTACATCATGTGGCATTTGCAGCGTATGGTTTGTATGGGGTGAGTGGGTTGTTGGTGGCAAGAGGAGCAGTATCGTGGCGGGTAGCGTAGAGAGGTCGCGGAATGCGCTTGCTTGTTGTGAGATGTTCTCTCGCCATATGTCGACCCTCGCTTCCAACGTAGGGATGGCTACGTTACAATGAATCGTTCAATTTTCAAAACTGATTGTTCACTACGTATGTGTACCGATGGACAGCAGTGCTGCATCGAAGGCGGGGGGTGTCTCACCTGTTCTCGTCCGGTCGCACGCATCGTTCGAGAGCCTTCCATACCAAGACCTTGGAGATTACGCACTTGGTCACCATGATGCCCGCCCAGACAGCTCCGCTCACAATTATCACCATGGTTCTTCTCAAGTCCGTTCGAAATCAAGCTGTCTAGGAGAGAGAGCTGAATTGAAGGTGTTGAGATTGAGAGTGAACTGGACAGGAGGAGCAGCAACAGCAACGAGGTCCAGGTCCCACGGCTGGATCTTGATTCGTGATGAGGCAGTTGAACCAAGCTCGACACTGTCAGAAAACGATCCTGGTATCCTGGTTTACGCGAGAGCTTGCAGATTCGATCTACTGCAGAAAACGACCCTGGTTTACGCGAGCAACGATACTACGACTGTACAGTACAGACTCGATCGAGACTTCTCCCACAATACTCAGTCTTTACACGGTCGAATATGCCCAAGAGGGCCCAGTACGAACAGCGGAAAGCAGTCGCCATCCTCTGATTCGTTAACCCGTTCCTTTTTCCTATGCGATTGTCATGTACTCCTCCAGCCTCCAGCCTCCTCCAGTGTGTTTCATGCTTGTATAGAATATATGCCTTCGTCCCAGTTGCGTCGTCAGAACGTCAGCCAACGCGGATGAGATCGCGAAGTTGGTCCGTAGGTTGGTTCGCCACGCCGCAAAGTTCCGGTTCGGCAGGGCATGCGGCGGGACCTCCCTTATGTTGCATGCGGCATCGTGCGCCAAGCGTGAGTGTACATGTCTACAAAGGTCGAGAGCCAACCTCCAATCCAGATCAGTGAGCTGCTAACATGTAGCCTATTTGAAGGCGGCAGCGACACCGCTGTTGTTCTCCGGTGTCATCCAGGAATTGCTACTTGCGCCTGTTTGGAGTCTGTCGTGCTCCGCTTCAAGTCGAGATCGTTGCGTGCCTCGCACATCGGCCACGAGGAGATGGCGGGCTGCAGGGAGGGTGCTCTATTAGTTACACGTGTGCACAGAAGATTTTCAACACACAGGTGGTGCGATTCTTTTTGGGCCCTCCTTCCATCTCTTCTTGAACGTACACATAGTCTATACCACTGTAGTCTACAGTCTACATGTTTCGTTGGCGTCGATATCACCACCGTTGAGTTTCGCCGGAGGAAGAAACGACGGAGTTCCTACACTACAATTTTCGAATGGATGCGGTTGCGAGGAGGGTGGTTTACGTGCATTTGTCGAGACTGAAGGTTAAACGCTTATAGTTTCGGTCAAAGAGTCGAAGCTGGCTTTTCCTCTCCTGTATGCATACTACAAGTATAAACAAGTACGTACGAACGCGAACCAATGCGTCCCCCACGGGTGTGGGGGGCTTTTCGCGAAGCAAAGCAATGTACATCGTACTCACCATCGCACCGCGCGAAATTATTCTAGCCAGCGTACCAAAAAGCGTCTGTCTATTTCTCCGAAAGTGGCACACTACATATTCTGGGTCACGTGACACCTCCACCATTCATTGCAAGACAACCCCTTCAAGCGCTGGTCGTCGAAGGGCCACTTCAAAAGCTCTTGTCTGTAGAGTCGACATTCCTTGCGTTCAAGGGGTTGAAAAATATCCATACGTTTTTTCCCTTTGTTGGCCTGGGTGCTTGACGAGACCCCGCATGAGCCACCCAAAGCACATGTATATAACCCCCCACATCATACACCGCGCGCGAACATATCTAAACTCACGCGAGCAGTGGTTCGTTGAACAAATTCCAACGTAAGACCTATTTATGCGTATAGATACTCGTTAGTTCGGTTACCAACAAATATCTCGGTTGCAACACGAACCACGCCGGCGCTTGACAACGGCATCAAAAAACAACTCTTCCCAACGCAGTCCTCCCCGCCGAAATCAACCAAGACCTTTGGGTCGTTTTCAGTACGACCCGAATTTTCGCCCAAGCTGCCGTGGGTCCCTTCTCCACGAGTGATCAAGCCAAGCTGCCTACAATACAGCTTTCTGCGCAACTGCGTCTAGAATACTTCATAATAACACCTAGCACATCACAGCAACCAACGCGCGTCCTTGATATCCATACATCCTTGCGTCATGAAACCCGGGCGCTCCAACCGTCACGACCGTCACCAAACACCTAAATCGACAGAATACGTCAGACCCAAATGCACAATCAAAGTGAGTAGGAGTAGGCTCAAGTTACTGGTACACCAGTCGACGCTTGGCCAGGCAAGGTCAGAGGTGTTGCGGCCCTTTTCGACCTATGACTAGTCCCCGAAGGCACGGAGGGAGGCTTGGAGCTGCTGGGATTGAACTTGGTCGTCGTACCCCCTGTGGCAGACGCGTCGATCTCGGTCACCTCCGTCGGAGTCCGCCGTTCGTTCCCGCGTCCTGCCTTCCCCGTGCCTGCGTCAGGGCTATGACGGCCAAGAGGCACTAGACATGTTCAGACATTTCTTTGGCATCCTGGCAAACATGCCCAGCTCCAAGCGGCTGGCGAGGCTGGCCCGCATGATAAACGCCATGGAATGTTGCGGGGCTCTTCACGAGAATGTATACGCGATGGACATCATCCATGGCACGAGATCAGCAGAAACAGCAACAGGCGATAGACAAGTTGCGCATCATGGAACAGGCCCATCAGCAGCAACAGCAACAGGACATGGACAAGTTTCGCGCGACAGAACAGACCCTTCTGTGCTCGCTGAGTGCCCAAGAGAGGCTCGAGCACTTGGAGGGAATGTTGGAGATAGAACCGAGGGAGGCGCATATAGAGACGGATTTCCGCACGCTGGAGGAGCAAGACGTAGAGTTGCTCGAACATGTTATGGAAATGATGGAGGAATATGACGTTGAAGTGATGGAGGAAGCCATAGGTGAATAGCAGGATGGCATATGGCCGTATTGAAGTGGTGTATTGGGTTGATTGAGCGGACGAGATAAAAATCGCGATGCAAACAAACTTTTGTCCGTGTGAAAGTTGGGTGTGGAAAGGCTCAGAACAATATTCGCATCTTCCACGCAGTACTGTTGTAGTACATGACACATGATGAACCCATCATCAGTTGCGGAACGTCTGCGTGTGTGTGGTTGCCTGAAGCAGGATGTCTCTCGGGAGGTTTCAATTGAAACGGCCAGGCTAGAGCTAGTGTATTGCATGCAGGGCGGAGCTACAGTACGTTGACACATACTGTTCGAAATCGATCCACAAGTATGCACTGCTGTACGGGTCTCGCGGCTTGCGGCCGCGCTCCCGCTTCCGCACGCCGAGAAATGAGCGGAGACAGATCTCGACACCAAGTGAAAGTTTGCGACACAAGCGGGTCGCGACACGAGTGGGCGCGCGAGAGAGGAGAGACGGAGAGAGTCGAGAGAACAACTACAACAACGTGCACCCAAGATGCACTCAACACACATGGGCCATTTTCCGCTTGTGAGGCATGCAGTAGCGGACATGAGAATGATACAAATTTGAAACATCGCACAGCATCGCAGATAGACTATTGCAAGGTATTGAGTCGTCACCCGCGGCTCATTACCCCTACGCATCTAGTACGCATGTCGTTGTTATTGTCGTGGAAACGATGTGTAGGACGGACCGTGGCCGAAGAGGCCGATACATGAATTTGAGTTGCTGCACGTATTGTGTTTGTGTTTGCTCCAAAAAAAATATAGGTGCCCTTATCCTACAGAAACTATGCTGGCAAACACCCCGACCAGCCTGTTGTTGCCGGTGAGCTTTGAAGTATTCAGAGGGTACGACCGACGAAAACACGCCCATACTACGGACACATTCCACATGAGCTTAGCCAATCACAACGCGACATCCCGCCGCCAGCTCGCCCCCCTTCCTGCTCTCCTCCGGCCAGCGACCCGCGTCTCAGAATCCAAACCAAAACACAGGAAAACCAATAGAGCACCGGAAGGTCAGCTTCGAGTCCCCATTCGGCAATAGGGTGAAGGGACCCACGCAACGCTGACTGAGAGCTGATAGAGAGAGAGGGAAATAAGGGAACGTAGTCGTAGTGGAAGGAGGGGTGGTACATCGTCGGTATGGTTCGATGCAAAAAGCTGAGCTTCGCCCCCAGATGTGTTTGCTATTCGCGAGGGACCCTGCTTCTGACAAATGTTTTGTCCTTTAAAGCGGGGGGTTGACTTCATTGAGATGAGTGTCTTTAACCCTTATATGACTACACCCACGAATGAGCTCCGTTCCCAGCTCCGATGACTCTTATATACAACATTTATCGAACCTGAGCCCGAATTGAGCTGTGGATATCTGCGTCCACGAGGGCTGGACTGGACAAGTAGACCGTCGAAAAGGAACAAAATAACGGCGGGGACAGCAGCAGTAGCGTCCCCTACACAAAAAACCAAAGCTTGGGAGTTGCAACGTTGCTGAGCACCCAGCCCGCGCTGTGAAAGAGACCGCAGTCCAGCACGCAGAAACGCGATCATGATACCGTTTTTTCTCTTGCTTCTGGCGATTTTTCGCACGAGCTCTATGAACACCCCTGCTGCGGATTCGGACTCGGACCACCAAGGTGTGTTGCGAGTTGACAAGGGACAGGAGCTAGCTCCCCCACCGAGTGCTTTGGGCCGGAGGGTACAGGAGCACATCGGTGGGCCTCAGGCGCTTAGCTTGCGGTGCAGCACAACATTGACACAAGGTGGGAGGGTTATCACCCCCTCGGCTGGAGCTGGTGTGCATACTGTAGAAGGAGATGGAAAATGCGGGTGGAACGCGCTGCGTGCGGTGCAAGTTTGCCTGGGTAGAGCAAGGACTCCCAACGAGCGGCAAACGCGCGCAGCGGTTGCCCGTAGAGCCATGGAACATGTTATCGGCGCACCCGATGTCCCTGAGGACTCGACAGCGGTACTCTCAAAGGACCAACTTGGGCGGGCCCTGAGTGTGAAGGTACCGCATGTTTTAGGGGATGTCGAACACGGGATGGCTGCGGAGGATAAGACGGTAAGGTGGTTTTGCGAAATAGCCTGGCAAAGTGCGGAGAAGTGGGTTGACGTTACCTGGATGTCCTTCCTGGCCTCGGAGTACGGGGTGAACATTATGGTGTGAGAGCCAAGCGCTAAGCACGGCACAGTCCAGGCGTACTCAGGAAACAACACGGCAGGCATGTTC